AGAGAGAGAGAGAGAGAGAGAGAGAGAGAGAGAGAGAGAGAGAGAGAGAGAGAATATAAATGAATAGAGGTCAGAGGGCCCTTGCAGACACTGTTCTCTCCTTCCACCGTGTGGAACCTGGAGATCTAGTCAGGTAGATCTTGGCAGCAGTACCTTGACTCACCCAGCCCTCTCGCTGGTCCCACCATGCAGAACCAAGGGACAATTTGCAAGAGTCAGCTTTCTCCTTTTACCAGGGAGCCTCGGGGATCGAACTCAGGTCCTCAGGCTTAGCAGCAAGCACTCTCACCTGCTGAGTCACCTTGCAGGGCACTGAAGAGAAGAATGTCTACATTTCTGAGGTATAGATGAGGCTGCGGCCAGGCCTGATAATGAACCCTGCAAGCCCAGCACTCAGGAGGCTGGGACAGGGAGAGTCTGAGGGTAGCCTGGGCTACATAGGGAGTTCCAAGCCAGTCTGAGTAGCATAGTGGACCCTGTCTCATCTGCCGCTGCTGAAAAGATCCAGGATGTCCACATAGAAAAGACAAATGACGTCTCAGCCATTCCTACCCACAGATCTCCTGTAATCTTGTGCTTAGTTTTTGGTGCTAATTAAACAGTATCCTAATTCTGAAAGGAAGGCTCCAGTCATTCTTTTATAAAATAATTTTTGATTATTACTTTTCATTTTCGTAAGATGGTTCTCTATAAGGCCCAGACTGGCCTCAGAGTCAGGATCCTCCTGCCTTAGCCTTTGGAAAATCAGAAGTCATGGGCTCTGCACACATCTAGGATTCCAGGCACGGCCCTTTGAGAACCGAGGACTTACATTTTCCACGAGGCAGACGGCAGCAGGGTTGCCCCGGAAAGCAGTTGCCGTGAATGCATCCACTATGAACATCGGGAGCTTCATTTTCCTCGCCAGCTCTGTCTGGGAGGTCCCTGCCTTGCTGGGAGGCTGCTTCACTTCCTGTTGTTTAAAAAAAAAAAAAAAGTTAATGTTTTACTCCTACAAACACAGTTAATGATTCCCAGATAAAAAGTCAATTACTCCAACATACCTGCACCTAAAGATGTGTGATTCCCCTACTTCTTAAAGCCTCTGCATTTAATTTGTTTTAAAATACTAGTTACATGGAGTGGAGCAGTGGTGGTGGCGCACACCTTTAATCCCAGCACTCAGGAGGCAGAGGCAGGTGGATCTCGGTGAGTTCCAGGCCAGCCTGGGCTACAGAGTGAGTCCCAGGACAGCCAGGGCTACACAGAGAAACCCTGTCTCATACTAGCTAAATGAAATATTTTTCATGCCACACACAGAACTCTGCAACATTATCACCCTCCTTCCTAGAGTAGCCAAAACTAGCTGTGGCAGTCATTTTAAGGAAGTTCATGAGACGTCTGAGAGGCACAGGTTTTGTTTGCAGTCTTCCCATGCAGACAAGCTCTCCTCTCAAGGTCAAGCATGGCATTGCTCACCTGTGATTACCCTGTGGGAGGCTAAGGCAAGAGGACTGAGAGCAAAGCCAGCAGGTGCACCTCTGAGTTCGAGGCCAGCATCATCTACAGAGTGAGTTCCAGGACAGCCAGGACTGCTCACAGAAGGAATGTTTCAAAAAGCAAACAAACTATATATCTATAGATATATAGTATGTATCTATAATACACATATATTCTTAAAGTGTGTGTGTGTGTGTGTGAGTGTGTGTGTGTAGGATTAAACCCAGGGACTCAATCACGCTAAGCACAAGGTTTACAACTCCCAAAGCTCCCGACTTTTTCAGAGTTTGTGGGGGAGAGGCTTCCTTACCTTGCTGCACACACCGGCCCCAGACACCGGGCCTCAAGTAAATCCTTTGCCTCAGCATGGATATACCACCACACCCAGCTCTGGCTTTGTATGTGGTTTTAATTAAATTCTTTACTGAAGGATAGAATTCTACCCTTAACTGTTTTTTTTTTTTTTAAGTTTCTAGAAATGCTTCCCAAACCAACAACAACAAAAGTCGTCTTAGAAGAATAGATCTCAAAAGCTCTAATACCCATGTCATTCACTTATTCAACAATAAGATGTCCCCAGCTCTCCACCCGCAACATACCCAGCTCCACCGTCTCTTCCTCAAAGAACTTGGGTTTTGTTTTGGCTTCAGGGATGCGCTGGGTCCCTGCCAGTTCAGGACAATTGCATTCCCTTTGCCAGATGCTCGATCTTAAAAGATTGTCTCACACCTAGATGGTGACAAGTCTCAGAGACATGGCCGGAAAGACTCTGGGAGGGACGTTGTTTCTGATGAATGGGAACAGAGCTAGGAGCATAGGCTACCCCATCCTTTCCCTTTTCCCCTGGGCTGAACATGTTGATACTAGAAATGCAACAGCCTGGTCTTTGGACCACGACAAGCAAGGAGACAGAAAGCTAAGGGACTAGATAAGGGGGAAAGAGTGTGGTTTCTGGTGCCTGCTAGATGACCTTAAGTGTTCTACCTCTAAACTTCCTGCCTGATACATAGTAAGTGTCCCAAAGTAGCAGCCAAAATAATCACTCCCCAAAGTTGTCCAAATTGTAACTCTCAAGAACCCATAAGTATGTTTTGTAACTAGCAAGACGGAATTAGGTTGAAGTATAATCAACTGATTATTCTGGATTATCAGACCCCAGGTAAGGATTTTTTTATTTTATAAGTACTGAGGATTAAGCCCAGGATTAAAGGTGTTCACCACTGCGCCCGGTAGAAAATCCATCTTTTTTTTTTTAAGATTTATTTATTAATCCATACATTGTTCTGTCTGCATGTGTCCTTGCAGGCCAGAAGGCACCAGATCACATTACAGGCGGTTGTGAGCCACTATGTGGTTGCTGGGAATTAAACTCCGGACCTTTGGTATTTTGTTTTTTTTTTTTCCAGAGCTGAGGATCGAACCCAGGTCCTTGTGCTTGCTAGGCAAGTGCTCTACCACTGAGCTAAATCCCCAGCCCCACTCAGGACCTTTGGAAGAGCAGTCAGTGCTCTTAACCACTGAGCCATCTCTCCAGCCCTGGAGGATCCATCTTTAATCTGGACCACACCTTCTGGCAACAGCCTATATAATGATCATGGAAGGAGAAAGCTTGCTCTCTTTGCCTGCTTGCTCTTGCTGCAAGTCCATTCCTTCACCGGCATTAGTGCCTACTTCTTCAGGCTCCTGCATAGGCTGAAGACCAGCTGAGACAGACAGACAGACAGACAGCCTCACGGAATCAACAACTTTGGGATTCTTGGAACTTTTGTTTGTAGACAGCCATTGTTGGACTAGCTGGACCACAGCCTGTAAGCCATTCTAATAAACCCCCTTTACATGCATATCTCATTCATTCTATCAGTTCTGTTCTTCTAGAGAATCCTGACAAATTCGATATATATTGCAATGTGTGTGTATGCAATGTATGTATGTTTATGTATGTATATATATATATATGTGTGTGTGTGTGTGTGTGTGTGTGTGTGTGTCTGTGTGTGTGTGTATTAGATTTGAAGACGCTATTCTTCTGGCTTCAATGATAGAGGAAGGTACCAGAAACTAAGGAACATGAGTGACCTTTAAGAGGTAGAAAAGGCAAAGGGCAAATCCCCACCTCCCACCCCCAAAATCTCCAGAAGGAACAGATCTGTGTTAGTCAGCTCAGGATGCCAGAACAAAACAGCACAGACTGTCTTAAACACAGATTTATTTTCTCATAGTTTAGAGGCCAAGAATTCCGAGATTACAACATGGATAATTCAGGTCTTGATGAAGGTGATTTTCCCACCTTATAAAAACTCTTTTCTATGGAAGGCCATGGGGAATCCAGCTCCTACCTTTCCTACCTTTTCTAGGGTTCTTAGGAGGAGGAGAGAGGGATAAGAAATATTAGATAGAAAGAGAGACCTAGTTGATGAGAAGAAAGACAGAAACACAGGATAGCTTCGAGAGGGCCTGGATCACTACCCAGTGGCCTCTTCCGTTTATTCAAAAGGGCTTTTTATAACAATGATAAGGTTTGGGGGGTGAGGCAAAAGACCTCCCCCTTGCTAGATCAAAGCACACCGCACAGCCAAGTGTAGACCCTTCCAAACACCTAGTAGCCACGCCCTTGCTCAAACTATCCCCTTATGAAGCCCTGCCGGGTAAAGCAAGCTCCGATTCTGAGACCCTGAGTACGACTCAGAAGAACTGCTTATGTTTGCCAGTTTAATAGGAGGAATATTTTAAATCATGGGCTGAGGAGACAAATGGGGAGAGGTATAGGAGAGGGAGCTTCCAGGCCAGAAACGTCCTCATATTTGGCTACGGGAAGTTTTCCAAACCCTGTCCCTAAGACTCATTGCGTAAGTGTAATTGAAACAGGTTAGGGATGCGCTTAGATAAAAGGGCATGCCTTAATGCTAATCGGCCTGGTGGAAGACGTCTAAAAGGCTGTCTGTTCAGACGTCCCTCTCTGTGCTTCATCCTCCTCTCCGGTGTTGGGCACCATCCCTTCTGAAATGGCATTTTATCACCTGCTACCAGATGTGGGTGCTGGGAACTGAACCCTGGTCCACGGCAAGAGTAGCAGATACTCGTAACCCCTGAGCTATCTCTCTAGCCCCAGGTTTCTCTTATTCATAACTTGGGTTTTAAACCTCAATTTGGTATGAATATACACTCTTTTAATAAACAGTAAGAAAGTACAGAAAAGGTGAATGTCCCTTTGACACCTGTCTTTCTGGCCCCGAGTCATGTGACAGAACATTAGAAATGTCCCTGAAATCTAATATTGGGTCCACTTAACCAAGCAAATGTGAAGGAATCAGGTCCCTGTGTCTAGTAGGTTAGTCCTGAGCCTCCCCTTGGGTGTGCCTGGGAACATTGCTGTTTGCTTGGAGCTTTTTTTTTTGGGGGGGGGGTGATTTTTTGAGACGGATTCTCTGTGTAACAGCCCTGGCTGTCCTGGAACTCACTCTGTCGACCAGGCTGGCCTCAGACTCAGAGATCCTCCTGCCTCCTAAGGGCTGGGATTAAGGGCGTGCGCCATCGTGCCCAGCTCTGCTTGTAGCTCCATAGCCATTTGTCCACAGTCTCCTTTGGCTACAGATGACAGAGGGGATTTCCGGCTATTCTGCAGCTGCTCACATGACAAACTCACTGTGAGCGCTGCCTCTGAACGAGGGTGCTCTATCACACACAGCAGTTCTGGTCTTTGACATTGTAGAATGTTCACTAGCCGAGTGCTGCCAGCCTCTGTGAATGTGAATATTGGGGAATTTTTTTTTCATTTGTTTTAAAGAAAATAAAAATTATCCGGTGTCGGGCTGGAGAGATGACTCAGTGGTTAAGAGCACTGGCTATTCTTCCAGAGGTCCTAAGTTCAATTCCCAGCAACCACATGGTGGCTCACAACCATCTGTAATGAGATCTGGTGCCCTCTTCTGACCTGCAGGGATACATGCTGTATACATAATAAATAAATAAATCTTTAAAAAAAATTATCCGGTGTCCTGATGTTTTTCTGAGTTAGAGCAGCACAATCCCGCAGCTTGTTTATGACGGCAACCCCCCACTGCCCATCAAAAACTGGCTGGGTCCTTTCTACCTCTGTACAAGGAAAACACAGTTGACTAAGCAACTGTACCGGATATTTATATTTTGAATTTTAAATTTTTATATATAATAATCTCACAGACTCACCAATTTTTATAGAGCTTTGTAGAATCTTGCTCTTTTGAAATTAATACCTAGAATTCTAGTACTTGATAGGCAGAAAGCAGGAGGATTAAGAGTTCGAAGTAGCCGGGCAGTGGTGGCGCACGCCTTTAATCCCAGCACTCAGGAGGCAGAGGCAGACGGATCTCTGAGTTCGAGGCCAGCCTGGTCCATAGAGCGAGTTCCAGGACAGGCAGGGCTACACAGAGAGAGACCCTGTCGAACTTAGCAACTCCTGTCTGTAATTGAATGAAAAAAAAAGAAAGGAAAGGA